GGCTCAGTGGTAGAGGGAGGCCGACAGAGTGGTAGAGGAAGACCCGCCCCCTGGTACAGGGAGGCTGGCCCAGTGGTCGAGGGAGACTGGCTCAGTGGTAGAGGGAGACTGGCAGAGTGGTAGAGAAAGACCGGTCCCCTGGTACAGGGAGGCTGGCTCAGTGGTAGAGGGAGACTGGCAGAGTGGTCGAGGAAGACCGGTCCCCTGGTACAGGGAGGCTGGCCCAGTGGTCAAGGGAGACTGGCAGAGTGGTAGAGGAAGACCGGCCCCCTGGTACAGGGAGGCTGGCCCAGTGGTCGAGGGAGACTGGCTCAGTGGTAGAGGGAGGATGGCCCAGTGGTCTAGGGAGACTGGCTCAGTGGTAGAGGGAGACTGGCCCATTGGTAGAGGAAGACCGGTCCCCTGGTACAGGGAGGCTGGCCCAGTGGTCGAGGGAGACTGGCTCAGTGGTACAGGGAGACTGGCAGAGTGGTAGAGGAAGACCGGCCCCCTGGTACAGGGAGGCTGGCCCAGTGGAAGGGGGAGACTGGCCCACTGGTAGAGGGAGACTGTCTCAGTGGTAGAGGGAGACTGGCAGAGTGGTAGAGGAAGATCGGCCCCCTGGTACAGGGAGGCTGGCCCAGTGGAAGGGGGAGACTGGCCCACTGGTAGAGGGAGACTGTCTCAGTGGTAGAGGGAGACTGGCAGAGTGGTAGAGGAAGATCGGCCCCCTGGTACAGGGAGGCTGGCCCAGTGGAAGGGGGAGACTGGCCCAGTGGTAGAGGGAGGCTGCCCCAGTAGTAGACGGAGACTAGCCCAGTGATAGAAGGAGACAAGCCCAGTGGTAGAAGGAGATTGGCCCAGTGGTAGACAGCACTGTGGAAGTGTTTACGGTGTATAGTGTTGAGGACAGAGAGTGGGACAGCATGCAGCTCACTGACTCTATACAAATCACCAATTGAAATACAACTTCCATGGCAGGTGACAGGGGTGAAACTTAAATTGTGATTGAATTCTAAACTCTGTAACACAAGAAGGTGTGTTTTTATGTGCTATTGACTCTGTTTACACTGACAACCAAAACATCACTGAGCCGTGTTTTGGAGACATGTTCGTGATACATGGACATAAGTGTAATTATTAACACATATCAGACAGAGTAATGATAATTAAGTACTGCTTCAAGTTTCATCAGAGTAAAGGAGACACAGGTGGTACCATGGTCTAAGGAACAGCAATTCACTATGCACAGTTGTGTCCCTTGGTGCATCAGAAACCTATGATCAAAGGTTTGAATCCCAGTTTCACCCAATCATGTTTCTAGGTTTGTAAGAGCCATACTCATCCTTGTGGGTCTAAGACCTGCATCACTTCGGGCTTTCCTCCCACATTAAGCTGACACGCTGTGATAAAACTAGAATACTGTTCAAATCGGTGTTAAACCCAACTCACTCACTCATAAGATTAAATTTAAATTAATCCTTGACATAGAACTTGTCCCCAAAACACAACCAAAGAACTTGTCCCCAAAACACAACCAAAGAGACAAGCACACAGCTGGTCACATCTCCTTCCAAAGCCTAACTACGCCAAACTTTGCCTCCAATTACAATATTCACACACAACAAAAGAAACTTCATGAAATAGATTTTTCACTAAGGCGCGAATTCTCCTGGAAACAACAGGCTGAGAAGCGCTATTGACATGTAACAGGGTGTGACTGGCCATACAATAGCCTTGATCTTATGCTAAGTGGTTTATTTGCCATATCCTCACTCGTTCAGACTGACTGCTATTGTTAGAGTGGATAAAAAGTCAATGGGTTCTCCATACCACCCAAATATACTCTGCCTGAGTGATTTATCACATTCTCCAGTCAGCCTGGACTTATTGCACACTGCATTAATCCCACATCATGATGTGATTAGTTGTGTTAATGTTGCAAGGAACTTCATCGAACATAAAACTGTGGGTATATTTTTTAGTTTCAGTGTAATTTTTTAACTGTATTCCAATATTTGAAATTGCTTTTAATTAGATGAGTATGTTCTGCTTGAGTTATTTATCACGGCATCTCGTCTTGCCAGACTTATTGGACACTTAATTAATCCAACATGCTGTTATTAGTTGTATTGAATACTGTATGGAATTTCATGAGCCTAAATCTGTGGATATGTTTTTAGTATGGGTGTAATTGTTTGACTGTTTTCCAATATTTGAAATTGGTTTTGATTACAGAAGTATTTTCTACGTGAGTTATCACGACCTTCAGGTCAAACCAGACTTTGTGTGCTGGCGATTAGACGTCTCACTGTGGCAGTGTGGGTTTGAATCCAGTGGGACTCAACCCCAAAAAGTGCTAGAATCTGTACTTTACTAAGAAAGCATCATCCCAAATTTATCATCCAAAACTTGCTCCCACAGGAGATATCACTAGGGTGAGATCAAGCGATATCTACATTGTATATATCACTGCAATTAAATTGCATCACAATACTTTGCAGACCATTGTGACGTCATTGGTTACCATGACGTCACAAATGACATCACTAACGGATCTGCTAACGGATTTCTTTATAATGGACACTAAATTTATTCTACATCTTGCTGTGACTGTATTGCATGGAGTTTCATTGAGGCTAAAACTGTCGTCATTTTTTCATTTTAGGTGTAATGTATTAACGGGGTAAATGTTTTCCTATATTTGAAATTGGTTTTGGTTTCAGGATTAAAAGGTCAGGTATGATAAAGGACCTTTTCCTCCAACTGGAAACGTAAAATTTGTAGATACAGATAGTTCTAAGTTGAAATAGTGTTATGAAAAAAATGCTCATGTTCACAGAACTGACTGTTTTAGAATATTCTGTCTTGTATACTCTTGTACGTATGAGTTGGGCTAAAACGAGTGAAGACAGTCCGTCTCCTTAGACAACCTGCTTGGGCCTAATATCAGAACAACAAGTAAGAAACTCTACTGACCAGGGTTTCTTAACTGAATTCGGCAAATTGGAAAATTATTTTGTTAAAACTTTGGATTTTTTAAAAGTTTATATTTTCTTAAATTCAGAGGTATTTTGAGATTGAATTTAATGCAATAATATAAAACAAAGCATTAAAACCTGTTTTTATTTATTGGTCTTTTTATATTTATATATCCCTGTGTTATTGGTTTTCGGACGCGTAAGAAACATTCATCGCTAATCACAAGAACAACTGTTATACACCTCACTCACTTATAAAAGATGAAAGATCTTAAAAACAGGTCATCATCTGAGTATTTACAATGTCTGTGTGATGCCACATCCCTCATTATAGCACAAGTAATCGTGATAAACATGGCTATCCGAAAACGTATGATGTCCAAAAACCTGTGATATGACGATATAAAAAGTTAATGCCAGCTCAACAAAACAGATTCCTTTGGCCATAAAAGGCAAAATAGGGGTGAAAATTTTATGAATGGATCACTGAAAATCAGTGAGGACACCAGGTGTTTGCAAACACTGTAAACAAGTCCTGCCCTACCGGTAGCACCTGCCACTCACACAATTTGCATAAAAGAGTAATTGTTTGTTTGCCCGACGCCTCACAACAGTACCGTATTTACTTGAGTATAGTGCACACTTTTTTTCCAATAAACACAGCTGTGTAGAACGGGGTGTGCATTATACACGCCATAATGAGTTTGGATGTTTCTTTTCCCCCAACGCAAAGACATTACGGTGAGCCCGTAACACGGGAAATACCATGTCAACAAATCCATACTGAAGTACGCAAATTAATCATGTAATTACACTGTCTGGTTATAAAATATGTTCTTTGTATATCTGGACTTATGTTTGTAACTTATTTCATTAATTTTATTTAAAATTCCTTTCAATATTGTTTTAATCAATTTCGGCGAAAATCGTGTGTGATTAACAGCAACCACGGTCAGATTACTGCTATTGACGCCTTGAAAAGAACTTTAGTGGACAGAGAATGGACACATATATCATACATGCCATACTTTGACTCGTTGAAAATCATATTTGTTGCAGTTTGACGATTCTATGTCAACATGTAGTTCTCGCGATCACGTGCACGGGAGCCTTGACGGTGACTGCTCAAATTGTTCAATGTGAAAAAATGACCGCTAGAGGGGCGTGGGCATTATACTTGGGTGTGCACTATACTCAAGAAAATACGGTACTCCTGCCATGTGAAGGCGTCCTGTAAACAAACCAGACAATCAAGTGATGGATCAGAAATACAGTCACACAATTGTGCATTTACTGATTTTGTTGAAACTAAAATAAATATAATAATTTTGAGTGCAAACCCTCCGAAGCTTATATGCAGCGAAAAAACGTCTTGAGAAATATGTTTGTTTCTCAACACAGTGGGGGCAGTTTTAATGTCTTGACCCAAACATTTCTAGTTGACTCAGCATTATTGATAAACAATGAGAAATGATTATAATTCTTACCATGTTAGTTTGATGATGGGCTAAAACCACTTTGGTCATGTGGACAAGGTGACTGACCTAGGATCACAGAATGGATACAGAATGTCCCTGTTTCAAATCCTTGTACAGGATCAGAACATTTTACGGAAGTTGCATACATGGGCTGAGAATGTCCCCATTAAATCTAAACAAAGTCTCAATACCCTACTACCCGGTATATGGACCAGGGCCCACTTGCACAAAGTGATCTTAGCGCTACGACTATTGTAAGCCTATGTTAAAGCATGTGAGTTATGATCATCTTAGCACTAAGATCGCTTTGTGCAAGTGGGCCCAGGACCTGGCTTCTGCCGATTAATTTACAGCAGGATGTGGAGTCATCCCACAGATGACATCCTTACCGTGTTAGCTTATTGAGGGCTAACCTCTTTGGTCATGTGGACAAGACATCAATACCCCACCACAACATCAAAATTTTGTATGGATGGTACATAATGACATATAAACCTAATACATGGATAAAAATGTGGGAGGAACATATTGGAATAATCTATTAGTAGTGAAGTATTCCTACGTGTAAACAAGGACCCTCGTCGGCCAAGCTGCCCTGGTACTGCAAGATGGGACATTCCATGTTTGTGTAACTTATCCGAGGCTGGCATCAGTGAGTGTCTCCTCAATCCACCAGGGGTCACTGTGCTGTGTTTCACCAACAGTGTACTGACTGCTGATTGGCTGAACTGAACCGACATGCTGCGCTTCGAATTGGAAGCCATCTTGAAATTATAAATATTCTAATGAAGTTCACATAAACAGCTTCTCCTCCATGTAATGTATAAGAAAAACCGTATCCACGTCCTTCAACAAATTCTTGAAACAAATGGTTTGTCTTCTGCAGTTAATCTTCAATCAATGAAAGAGTGAACACGATGCATACTGTCCTACTGTCAGAAATATTGATGAACAAAACAGCATCAACAGATCGAGAAATTCTCGTTTCCACGGAAACACAAAGGTAACATGATACAGGAAGGAAAGACAATTAGAACTCTTCAGTGCAGGAAATCAGGAAATGCATCTCAACATATTTTGACATCAGATCCATTGTCATCCATCTTGGATTCGACTGACTGGACAAACAAGCCAGATAGTAAATTAAAAGCAACATGACACGATAATAATGCTTACACAATGTAATATTGCTTCTGTGAGGAAGAGAATGTCAAACACATTATGTCAGTCCTCCATTTTCCAAAACCAATCATATATTGCATAAAATGATTTGTAATCGGTGGAATGAGATTGGACCAATGTCCACTTTTCATTTCAGTGGTAAAGGCAGCTGCGTTGTAAACTGCTTAAACGACAAAAAGTAGGAGATTGTTGAGAGGTGTCATTAAATGACAATACTCAGAACAGCGGGAGGCAAATAAAGGCAGCTGCACTGCGAACTGCCTAAGTCACAAAAAGTCAGAGATTGTTGAGGGGATGTCAATAAATGACGATTCACAGAACAGCAGGAGGCAAATACCAACATGGATTAATTTTCCCTGCAAACAGTTGCTGGACTAACAATATTGTTGAAAAAATATGTCACAGTTAAGCTGAGTTTTAATGCTGCAAGTAGTTTTTCATCCTGTCTGATTCAAACGTCATTCCTTCGATTGACATAGTCTCAGGTCCACACTGCTGATTCCTGAAAACGTCTTCAGTTTACAATGGTTGATGTTCTACAGAAAGCAGTTTACAACGGGTGTTTGACTGTTCAACCTTTCCAAAACACCATCATCGTTGCGTTCCAAACTTCATTCCTTGGTTCAGGAACTGTCTCGGAACCATACTGCCAATTCCTCAAGAAGTCTGCGACATGTGCTGGTACAAATCAAAGTTTAAGTTTCCTTCCCCATCTTCAATGTACCTGTCCAAACCCACTGGCTCCTTTCAGTCTTCATACAGTTCTCACAGATCTTAGTTACATACCACCACCTCTGTTCTGGTCCAAATATCTTTCCTTAAAATGACTTTTTAAAAGGTCTCAGATTCATAAAGTTCCAAAGTCTAAACTTCAGGTGATTCTACACAGCAACTTTCCAATCAATGCTGATCCGAAGCACTGTACTTCATTTACTTGGTTTAATCATAAATCCATACACAAGTGATTTTTCAAAATTCCAATTTTCTCAGGCAATTCCCGCAGTGGCTCCACACATAAGCTGTTAAACTTTTCCAAGCAATAATCACTCAATGGTTCAACCTTTATCTCCTTTGGTCAATAATGGTCTCATACCTTTGATTCCTCACACTGTCTTCATACAGATTCGGCCCGTGAAGATCCGGGCTAGAATAGGTCTTCAGCAACCCATGCTTGCCATAAAAGGCGACTATGCTTGTCGTAAGAGGCGACTAACGGGATCGGGTGGTCAGGCTCGCTGACTTGGTTAATGCATGTCATCAATCCCAATTGTGTGGATCAATGCTCATGTTGTCAATCATTGGATTGTCTGGTCCAGGCTTGATTACTTACAGACTGCTATCATAAAGCTGAAATATTGCTGAGTGCGACGTTAAACAACAAACAAACAATCAATCATACAGATTCCTCCGGAACTTCTTCACTGTTGCCTTGAAACTTCCAACCACAAGTTTCACTTTAATGCCAGGAGGTACTTTTACTGTACAAACTTTCCCAAACCCTTTCCCTGTATTGGTCTACAAAAGTCTCCTTTGAGTTCCAACAGTTGTGCAGTTAATGTCTCATCAAATTTCCATAGATTCTAGCTTTGATACCTAACCACCATCACTTCATTTCCTTGAGTTGCCAACAATCTCAGAACCATACCATTGACTCCTTAGAATTGCATCCTTGTGTATATTTCTACACCTACCAACCATCAGGCAATGGTTTAAACTTCATTTCCTTAAGTTGACAACGGTCTCAGAAGCATACCACCGACTTCTCAGAAAGTCCACACCGCATTCCCATGTAACCTTCTACAGAGTTATGATGACCACTTCACTTTCCTGAGTTGACAACAATCACAGAACTGTTCTGCTGATTCCTCCAAAAGTCACACCACATTCCCATATATCCTTCTACAGAGTTATGATGACCACTTCACTTCCTGGGTTGACAACAATCACAGAACTGTTCTGCTGATTCCTCCAAAAGTCACACCACATTCCCATATAACCTTCTACAGAGTAATGATGACCACTTCACTTTCCTGAGTTGACAACAATCACAGAACTGTTCTGCTGATTCCTCCAAAAGTCACACCACATTCCCATATATCCTTCTACAGAGTTATGATGACCACTTCACTTCCTGGGTTGACAACAATCACAGAACTGTTCTGCCGATTCCTCCAAAAGTCCACACCACATTCCCATATATCCTTCTACAGAGTTATGATGACCACTTCACTTCCTGGGTTGACAATACCACTGACTCCTCAGAAAGTCCAAATTCCCCCACATACACAGCATTGTTAATGTACCCTACACCCAACACTGTCCAACCTTCATTTCCTAGTGTTAATATTGGCTATTGACATAACACCAGCCAGCTTCTCCCCACAGCACAAAGAATTGTCCAATATGTCTATCAGCAGGTATTACCATTAATTGACTGCCACACACCTTTCAATTCACTTTAATGAAGGCCAGACAATACAGAGAGCTCATAAAAACCTACGGGTAGGTTCCCAACTCAGGCCTGCTCAATCACCTGGACAAGCACTGAAGGCATCTAAAGGTTATGGGATCAACTGTTGTCCTGGGATAAACATGGCGTTTCATGTCAGTACAAATCTCACTGACCTTTAAGCTACATTAGAATTGACTTCGATCTTATATTTCTTTGTGTTTATATACGTATAAGTGTAAAAAATGGTGTGCATACTGTAAATCTAGGGGTATGATGCAGTGAGGGGTTTGAACCACCGACTTCTGCTCTCTGAGGGGAAAGGGGTAAGGAGATGGTGAATAGGATATCCCATCATAATTACTGGCTTATAATTAGTTGTTAAGTTATTAAACAGAACTCTGTACAGTGACATTGGGTGTGGATCTGGCTTCGTTATTAAACACGACTCAGTACAGTGACATTGAGTGTGGAGCTGACCAAATTATTTAACAAAACTCTGTACAGTGACATTGGGTGTGGATCTGACTAAGTTATTTAACAAAACTCTGTACAGTGACATTGGGTGTGGATCTGACTAAGTTATATAACTCTGTACAGTGACATTGGGTGTGGATCTGACTAAGTTATTTAACAAAACTCTGTACAGTGACATTGGGTGTGGATCTGACTATGTTATATAACTCTGTACAGTGACATTGGGTGTGGATCTGACTAAGTAATTAAAAACAACTCTGTACAGTGACATTGGGTGTGGATCTGACTAAGTAATTAAACTGAACTCTATACAGTGACATTGGGTGTGGATCTGACTAAGTAATTAAACACAACTCTGTACAGTGACATTGGGTGTGGATCTGACTAAGTAATTAAACACAACTCTGTACAGTGACATTGGGTGTGGATCTGACTAAGTAATTAAACACAACTCTATATAGTGACATTGGGTGTGGATCTGACTAAGTAATTAAACACAACTCTGTAAAGTGACATTGGGTGTGGATCTGACTAAGTAATTAAACACAACTCTGTACAGTGACATTGGGTGTGGATTGTACAGTGACATTGGGTGTGGATCTGACCAGCCAGTGGATGATGTGAGGAAGACAAAGTGGTGACTTTCCTCCCCATGATAAAATGATCCTATTGAGGATATAGATCAGACAGAATAAGGAATCCATATTGACCTCTTTGTAGGTGATCCGACTCCACAACAACATAAAATGTCACCTCTGCAATTTAATATTTCTGTTTCACTTGGCAAATGGGCAATAAAGATTTAGCCTTACCATTTAGACCCAATAAAATAAATTTAGATTTGTGGTACAATGGTGTACAGTATATTGTGTTGAAGTTTATCAACTCTATTGCCAATAAAGATTTCTCTAATTGTCAACTGGTCTTGTGTTTTCCTGGTTAATCAACTCTATTGCCAATAAAGATTTCTCTAATTGTCAACTGGTCAAATGTCCCTGAACAGCAAAAGGAAGTTGAATTAATGAAAACAAGTGGACAGGTTCCAAGTTTCATTGTAACCAATTCTGTTCATTTTGTTATTGTCATATACTGGTAATGAATGAATGAATGAATGAATGAATGAATGAATGAATGAATGAATGAATAAATAAATTTGTTAGGTGCTATCAAAGGGAGAGAGTCCACAATAAAGGACCATAGTATGCGAAAGGTGTCCCTCACAAATCTTGAGATAAGCTAAATAATGTTAATACATACGTATGGCTGTGATTGTGTGACACGATCTCTTTAGTTTCAGCCTGGTCCCGCCATGAGACTTTCTCCTGGGTGTGATACTGGGGCTTTCCCCACCGGGGTGTAACACCCCTTCACTCAGCTTTCTCTGCACAGAATTCTGCTTCTGATTATTTGCATTGGATGGCACAGATTTAGATCGTGTAAATGTTTTTAGATTTTTTAATGAGGTTGACATTTTGAACACTTCTTTTCCAATAGTGTCATCCAACATTTTCATCCACTGCTTGGTACAGCAAATGCATATTTGTCAAATACTAATTTCCATCCAACCAGTTCAACATCTCTTCCACAAGTTCAGATCTGCTGAAAACTCTTTCCATCCAACAAGTTCCACATTCCTTTCACAATTTCGAATATCTGTCAAATACTATTTTCCATACCAAGACTCCAACATCCTTTCTCCAATTTCTGATCTGTTGAATACTGTTTTCCACCCAACAAGTCTCACATCTCTTCCTCCATTTCAGATATCTGTCAAATACTATTTTCCATCCAAAATCTCCGGCATCCTTTCTCTAACTTCAGATCTGTTGAAGACTATTTTTCCATCCAACAAGCCCAACA